CCAACTAACCAGCAAAAATCTAGAAGTAGAGCTGTGTCTCTAGTGGTAAAGCACCAGCCTTGAGCAAAAAAGCTCAGGGATAGCATCTCAGGTCCTGAGTTCACAGCCTTGAGCAAAAAAGCTCAGGGATAGCATCTCAGGTCCTGAGTTCACAGCCAGCACAATAAAATAAAATAAAATAAAAATTCAGATCACTGGGCCTCACCCCAAGAGGTGATGATTTTCACTGCTACAGGGCATTGTTTTAGAAAGATCTCTTTCTGGGCACGGGTGGCTCATGCCTGTAATCCTAGCTACTCAGGAGGCTGAGATCTGAGGATCGTGGTTCAAAGCCAGCCAGGGCAGGAAAAGTCGTGAAACTCTCACCTCCAATAAACCACCAGAAAACCAGAAGTGGCCCTGGGGCTCAAGTGGTAGTGGAGCACTAGCCTTGAGCTGAAGAGTTAAGGGACAGCACTCAGGCCCAGAGTTCAAGCCCCATGACCAACAACAACAACAACAACAACAACAACAAAAAAATATATATATATATGTATATATATGTATATCTGTTGGGCTGTGGCTCAGTGGTAGAGCGCTTGCCTTGCATGTATGAGGCCCTGTGTTCAATTCCTCAGCACCACATAAGCAGAAAAAGCTGGAAGTGGTGCTATGGCTCAAGTGGTAGCGTGCTAGCCTTGAGCTGAAGAGCTGAGAGACAGCACCCAGACCCAGAGTTCAGGCCCCAAAACTGACCAAAAAAAGAAAACCAAAAAAGATCTATTGATGGCTCTAACTTGCAGTACTGGGATGTTTCATTTGAACACAGGCACACGCACACACACACACCAGTAGTTAAAACCTAGTGAGTCAGGCAAAATGACTCCTAGGGGATTTATGAAGCTCCACAATCCTGACAATAAACCACCTTTGCACACTCCATTTCTTGCCTAGCAGATGACTTGACAGAAAGAATGGAATGGAACGGAACCCATCATCGAGCAGCTTCCGCATGGCCTTGCCAGCTGACAAACTGCTGTGTCTCAGGGCTTCCTGTGAGGGGGAGTGGCCTCTCCCAGCTTACCAATGGCGTAGCTGCTGGCTGCACATGGCTATGGATCACTTGAACCGTAACAGTACTGAATTTGAAATCTTATTTAATTTTCATTCATTTTTTTAAATGGCCACATGTGGTCACAGTACTAGAAAACCCAAAAAGTGTCGCCATCCCTAGAGAGTCCTAGAAATAAGGTTTTACCTCTTCTAAGTTATACAGAATAAACTTTATGGAAAATATATATCTGAAAAGATGTAAATCCAATAGTCTTTAGGTTATCAAGTAGGATGCTAGCAGTTTCCAATAAAGTCACAATTTAAGAGAAATTTTCAATGTGTAGAACCAGTTTCCTTGCATATTACAGGCACTTAGCTTGAAGGGGACATCACTGCCCTATTTTTAGAACACATCACTGTGTCTAATTGACCTAGTCACAAAATAACCATGAGTTTAGAAAGAATTTCACAGTGGAAGCTAGGCACTGGTGGCTCATGCCTGTAATCCTAGCTACTCAGGAGGCTGAGATCTAAGGATCATAGTTTGAAGCCAGCCTGGGCAGAAAGTCCATGAGACTCTTATCTCCAATAAAAGACCTAAAAGCTGGAAGTAGAGCTGTGGCTCAAGTGGTAGAGAGTCCTAGCCTTGAGCAGAAGAAGCTCAAGGCCCTTAGTTCAAGCCCCAGGACACGCACCCCACCCCACCCCCCATCCACACAGAGTGGAATTGATTTCTACTCTCAGCTGTTTATCAGACTATGACAACAATACACTCAGGAAAGCCAAAGTTAGGTGAGAATTTTCAAAGAAGTGACACTGATCAAGATGCATTATAACTATTTAAAGATAATAAACAAATTCAAAAATACATTCATCTTTACTTTCCTTCCATCCAAATCCAAAAATAATCCGAGTCTTGTCAACACGACAGGTCTGAGCCAACACATGCTGCAAAGCAACGTCATCTCTAAGGACAGGCTTTTTTCATATTGTCCAATTTCATAATGACCCCCCAATTGCACAAACTGCCTTCCCCACATTAATTCTCAGCATGCAGATACTCATAGAACTCAGTTCATACATCACAAAAGCCAGAAAACTGAAAGCTCACATTTGTTATCCTAGCTACTCAGGAAGCTTAGATGTGGGCAAATCAAGGTTTAAAAACCAGGCCAGACAGGAAAGTCCATGAGGTTCATAAACAACTAACCACCAAAAAGCAGGAAATGGAGCTGTAGCTCAAGTAGTAGAGTGTCAGCTTTGATCAGAAGAGCTAAGGAACAGTGCTCAGGCTCTGTAAATAGACACACACACACACACACCAGAAAAAATAGACACACACACACACACACAAATAAGCTCAATTCTACCCCTAACTGAAAAGGCAAAGGTTAGGAATTTCTGGATGCAAAAGAGAAAAAAAAAAAAAAAAGAGTTTACCTCAGGTTGGCACAAACTTCCTTGTCCACCACTAAGTAGACAAGGTGAGCCATATCACAGAGCTCTTCACAAAAGCTGGCACTTAACTGAGAGCTTACCATCACATGCTGGGCACTGTGCCTTATGTATCTCAGGGATATCACTGCCCTCTGAAGCAACTACTCTTACTGAAAGTTGATGTTCAGAGAGGTTAGGTGACTTGCCCCGAGTCACAGAGAAGTAACTGGGAGAGGGAAGTCGTACTTTAACTCCTTTGTTAACACTAAACACTAAACACATTGTGCCAGTGTTGGCTCCTAGGCTGAGCCATTCTCCTTGGGATCAGGCTGCAGCCCAGGGAGGAAATCTGAATTTGCAGGGTTCAGAAACCTGGGCCTATCCATTTCAAAGGGTACCATCCCCCAGTCCCCATTCCCCATCACCACCACCCCACCCCCAGGCTTGACTGAAAGGTGGAAAGAAGGGCCTTGGGGAAAACTTCCAGTCCTGCCAGCTTGGCCACACCTAAGAGAACAGCACAGATGCTCCCCGGGGGGGGGGGGGGCATTCCCAGAGGAGGGAGAGCTGAGCCAGGCAGCCGTGAGAGAAGTATGGGCACCTGCTTGTTTAACAGCCAAAGAGAGCAGGGCGTGAAGAGAAGCCAGGATGCAGGGAAGGATAAGGGTAATCTCCAGGTACCCATGCTAAAGGTCCAGAGAAGCACAGGAGCCCAAGAATCCTTCTCCATCCCAGCCCTAGTGCTTTCTAGTTGTGTGACACCCTGTTCCCTCCTCCAAACAAAATTCTGCTTTCTGGGCCTCAGTCTTCTCTAGTAGGGCACTGAAGCCCCCTTACTGGTCTGAGAAACTTTTTTTTTTTTGGCTAGTCCTGGCACTTAAACTCAGGGCCTGGGTACTGTCCCTGAGCTTCTTTTGCTAGCACTCTACCACTTGAGCCATAGCACCACTTCTGGCTTTTTCTGTGTATGTGGTTCTGAGGACTTGAACCTAGGGCTTCGTGCATGCTAGGCAAGCACTCTACACTAAGCCACATTCCCCGTCCACTGGGAATCAGATTTTATAGATTAATTATCTAACTATCTATGGTGCTGAGTGTGGAACCCAGAGCATTGCTTAAATCAGGCAACGTGCTCAACCCCTGAACTACACCAACAGCCACTGGACTTAATTTCAAGAAATCAAGTTAATGCTAGGAGCATAGGTTATTTGGTTATAACTTCTGATTTTTATAAAAGTATTGATAAGAATTTATTAGTTAAGGACTTAAGAGAGCTCTTGCTTGGCAAATAAGAGGTTCTGGTTTCAAAAAAAAATTAAAATTAGGGCTGGGGTTTGGCTCAAATGGTAGAACACTTGCCTAGCATGCACAGGCCCCGGGTTTCATTTAAAGTAATGGGGAAAAAATAACAGTGGTATCCATCTCAGGGAGGCTGTTGAGAAATAAGGCAGGTAATTATTTTAAGTGCCTAAGACAGGGCTAGTACTCAATAGGTACTTATTCTATGTCAGTTCTTTTTAATTATAAGCTATTTTTAACTCCCAGACGGGTGCTGCCGGCCATTAGGGCTTTATAGCTGGTCAAGAGGGGTGCTTATAGCTGGTCAAGAGGGGTGCATTCCATGTAACAAGGTTCACAGTAAAGATCCTCTGGACCCTTCGCCCTATCCCTAAGGCCGACCGACCCCAGCTTGGGGTGCACATCATGCACGTGCTCTGTGCTGCAGCCTGCATTACACAATCTGCATGTAGGGATGCTGGGGTGCTGGATCCCTGGGGTGCTGGCAGCCCAAGGCCCGCAAGAGTGCTCGGACCAGCGTTCTGAAAGGGCCAAGCGCAAGGACGAGTTGGGACAGGTTGGGGGAGGGGGAGGGTATTAGAGGAAAGAGCTCTGGGGGCGGCTACAGAGCTGGGGGCAATTGTGTTGGGGTGTGGGGGGTGACAAGGAAGACGATGGCTTCCGCGAGGGCAAGTGGTGGCCCCTCTTTCCAGGAAGTGGAAGCAACGGCAGGTGCAGGAACAAAACCAGCCAGCCAATGGCAGGGGTGCGGGTGTCAGTCCCTCTGCACTCGGTCCCCGAGCTTAGCTCCGGGAAGTGGAAGGATGGGGTAAGGGGGGATCTCAAACCATTCCCGGAACCAGAAGGAGGAATGGAAAGGGAGGTGCGGGTGCGGGGTGCGGGAGAGGCGTGCGAGGAGTGGGGTGCGGGGTGCGGGAGAGGTGTGCGAGGGGTGGGGTACGGGTGCAGGGTGCGTGTGCGGGGGCAGGTAGGGGTGACGGGGTGCGGATGCGGGGTGCGGGGGCAGGTAGGGGTGAGGGGTGCGCGTGCAGGTGCGGGGGCAGGTAGGGGTGACGGGATGCGGGGTGCGCGTGCGGGGGCAGGTAGGGGTGACGGGGTGCGGGTGCGGGGTGCAGGTCCCATCGGCCCGGTGCGTCGCAGGGCGCATCCTGGAAAGGGGGTGTAGGTCACGGAGTCGGGAACGCCCCCCCCCCAACCCTGCATCTCACCCCGGTGCTCCCCGCTGTGCTCACCGGGTAACTTCGGTCGCCCGAGTCCGGCCGCCTGACCTCGGTTCCCGGCTCCCCTCTGGGCTCGGCCTGGAGCAGCGCTCGCTTCCGCCGCCGGCTCCTCCTGCGCGGCGGGGATTGGCTCCTTAAAGGTACAGCACGTGGAGTCGCATCCGCCGACAGAAAAGATGGCCCCGCCCACACAAGGTACTGCTGTCGGCCACCAACTTGGAGATTTAACTCTTACCTCCAATTCTAATAAGGCTCTAGGCCAAGAAAGCAAAGTTAATATTCAGCATCGCCTAGCCCTGGCAACCTGTCGCCAACCACACAAGCCAAGGACAGCAGAAGCTCCTATTGGGTTTCTAGTAGCAAAATGGAATCAGGGGTGCACACGGTGGGGTGGGGTAGGGGGAGGGAGGGTGCCTGCAATGTAACCCCTGGAGCTAAGGTTCCTCAGAGAAGCCAAAATGGGGTAGTGTGGATACTGAGCGCCTGCATTGTGTCTGGCACTGTGGGCTTTAAACCCACCCAAGAGACTCAGGCAGGATCTCTGCTTGAGAGAGCTTAGGGTGAAAGAACTGGATGGATCCTGGGGCTGGGTAGCTCATGCCTGTAATTCTAGCTACTCAGAAGACTTATATCTGGGGATTGTTGTTCGCAGCCAGCCCAGACAGAAAAGTCCTTGAGATTCTTACCTCCACTTAACCACCAAAAAGCTGAAAGTGGAGCTGTGGCTCAAAAATGGTAGAACACTAGCCTTGAACTCAACACCCAGACCCTGAGTTCAAGCCGCAGAAACACCCACCACCACCACCAAACACACCAAAAAAAATAGGACAGATGTGTGTTCATGAGTTGTCTCATTTGCTCCTCTGAAGTGAACACTGTAGTTGGCTTCCTGTGGAGGTGAGGAACTGCTTAGGGAGCCCTCCTGGAGAACACAGAGCTGGAAATTCCAAGCCAGGATTGCCTGACTGTACAGCTTCTGGGCAGGGGGAGTTTAGCAGCTGGAATGGCCTTTCGCTGGTGAAACCTGCAAATGGTCCTTTCTTTCTCATATGAACAAGTAAACCTCACTGTAGTCTGGCCGCACTTTGGACTTTCATGTCTCAATTTAGACATCACTTTCCTAGTAAACCTTCTTTAATTAAGCCTTGGGCTTTTTCACACCATTGTGTGAGGATCTCTGTGTAGTGATGAGCAAAGAGAGACTATGACATTGTGACTTATGGCACACAGGTCTTCCTGTGGAACTGAGGCCTCCGCTTGCTTATTGGCTTCCCCCTATAGGCATTGGTGGGACCAGTGGCAACAAGACTCTCAGCCACTTAAAAATCCACCAGTACCTAGGTATGGTGATTCAAGCCTGGTATCCTAAGCACTCAAGAGGCGGAAGTAAGGAGATCCTGGGTTCATTGCCAGCACCCTAGCCATACCTCAAGACACTACATCCAAAATGTATTTTTTAAATCCTTCATAAAGTAGCCTCCTAGACTGTGTCTACCAATCCCTTCAGGCAGGTCTTGGTTTGCTGGGGGGAGAGGAGTGAGGGTTGTGTGCCACAACTGGAGTTTGAACTCAGGATGCTTTTTACTGGTTAACTAGAGATAAGAGGCTCTGCCTATGCTGGCTTAGAACTCCAGTCCTCATATGTCAGCCTTCTGAGTAGCTAGGATTACAGGTGTATGCCACTGGCACCCAGCTAGGTCTTGGGTTTTAAGAATGGGGCATGAACAAGAAGCCCCAGAAATGTGTGGCCACGGGACATCTCTGAGATTACTGGTGAACCCTCAAGCTGAAAACAAAGGTTGCCTCTGTCAGAGTGGCTAGAACTCAGAACCCAGAGTCTGGGACAATCTCACTGGCTTGGGTTGGAACATCCAACTCCCAGGCTTTAAGGGCTGCATCTGACTCATGTTAGGGGAAACTTCCCATGGTTTCAGTGACAATATCTGCATCAAAGGCTGTGTTGCTAGGCCTCCTCTGGCTTCTCTCCTCACTGCCAAACTAGCACCTATTCAAGCCAGCTGCCCACCATCTTCCTAGAAGATACAAGAAACAAAATGGAGCTGCCGTGGTGTCTCTACCAGGCACTCAGTCCAGTAATCCTGGGCCCTAGAAGCATTTACCAAACATGCTGAGGGCTGCATAAATAAATAAGGAGTGAAATCAATGAATGAATTCCTGGAAGGCCCCAGGTTGAAAGCCATTCATACACTTTACCTCATGTATTTGAATAGTTGCTTTATAAGTTTAAAAAAAAATTCCCTCATCAAATGCTTAAAAATGCCACTGGTGGGGGAAGCTCAGTGGTAGAATACTTGTCTAGCATGTATAGAGACTATGAATAGAATCCACCATAAAAGCAGAGGGAAAAAAACTCATTCAGCTTGCTGGGTGAGTGCTCAACCATTTCAGCCATGCCTTCAAGCCTTGTGTTTTGCTGATTCTTTTGGAGACAGAATCTTATGGACTTCAGTGCCCTGTCTGGCTTCAAACTGTAATTCTCTGTCTCGCAGCCTCCTGATTAGCTAGATCACATGCATTGGCTACCTGCACCCAGTTCCCTCCTAGTTTTATTATGTGGTCATACCTAGTTGATCCCTCAGGGTGACATCACCAGATGACTGACAAGAGACAAGCTGTAATTAGCGGGTTTTACAGTGGCAGAGGGGGCGAGGGAATACAGCCCAGCGCCCTCTGACTCAGTGATACTCCTGACAGCTGTCACTAAGGTGTCAGGGGGAGGTGGGTGGCCAGGAAACAGTCCCAGAGGCCCCCTCCTTGTCAGTCATCACATAGAAACTCCTTATCAGTGGGGAGACCTTGCCCTGACTCACGCAGAGGTTGGAAACCCGTTTCTGCCAGCAGCTGTGGCAGAACGCCCCAGGTCCTGTTACAAGTCTGCAGACGTCACCAGGATGTAGCTGTACACCTGTCAGAGCTGCAGGGTGTGTACCATGGCCACTGTTCAAAGCACATCAAATCACAGCCCTCACAACCACCCCCGGAGAGGTACTAAGCCTGTTTATTTATTTAGCATTTATTTATTTTTGTACCTGTACTGGGGCTTGAACTCAGTGCCTTGGTGCTGTCACTGAGCTTTTTCACTCAAAGTTGGTGCTCTACCACTTGAGCCATACCTCTACTTCCAGCTTTTTGGTAGTTAACTGGAGATAAGAGTCTCATAGACTTTCCTTCCCCGGCTGGCTTCAAACCCCATGTGAGCCACCAACACGTGGACTCTAACCCATTTTAGAGATAGAAGTGCTCATGGGCATAGGGCTTAACCAAAAGGTCCCACAGCCATCATGTGCTACCAGCCACTCACCCACTCATCAGACATTACTGAGAGCTGAGCACAATTTGATACTCTCTGGGTGACCACAGATGCACCTCTTGTCCTCTAGGATGTACAGGACAAGAAGTATAAGAAGAAAGTATTAGAAACTATTCCATCAAGGAATCAGACACTGTGACAAAACCACATGTGGGACATGCAGGGAAGAGAAATGAAATAGGAGAGAGGCGCTGTGCACACAGATGTTGGCAGGCAGCACAGAAGGCTCTAGTATTTGCATGGCAGCCTAAGCCAGCCACCAAGCCCTGTTCCCATTTCGCAACTCAGCTTTCACTGGCTTGCAGCACCTTTCCTTGCTTTTCCAGGCAAAATGAAATGCCCTGTCATCCACCCCCTATAGTTCATTGAATGTGAGGGTGTAGGATGGGCCTGGGATTCATGTAGCTGATTCTGGACTCCACTGGGCTGTGAAGTTTTTTCCTACATTCATGGTCGCAGGGTACAGTACAGTGAATGGCATGGAACAAGCAAATGTCAACTTTTCGTGAATGCCTGCTCTGTGCTCAGGGTCTATGAGTGTCATCTCACTGAAGCCTGTGAGAAGGTTCTATCATTAGCTTTTCTTTATTTAGAGGAAAAATCTGAGGCTCGGATGGGTTAAATATTGAGGTCCAGATACTGCCAAAATCCAAACAAGTTGTGTATGTCTGAACACAAAAGCTATGTTCTAGCCACTCAGCCACCTGTTCCTGTATGGAACAATGGAATTAGATGCAAAAAAAGGGTCTAACACTGCATTCAGCATCCATGGAAGAGTAACATTTTAAGGCCAAAAAATAACTTTGCAAATGACTTGAAATCTGCTTATTCATTGATTTGTGAATTAAGTACTTCTCAAGCTTCTACTTGTGCACAGGAGTCAAGCTAGGGAAAATACAATCTGACTCCTTTCTTTAAGGAGTAATAAATCATAAGATAATTTCTATACACATGAAAGAAGAATATCAATGCAAGAGTTAGGTAATAAGAACCTATCGCAAATCCACAGGTCCAAACAAGGTGTAATGGTATACATCTTTAATTCCAGGACACAGGTATACGAAGCAGGAGAATCACAAGTTTAAGGCAAGCCTGGGCTGCAGAGCAAGACCTATCCCTCAAAATAAACAGAGTTAGCACATTAAAATGTAGGGTATGACAACAGAAAGAAGGACTAATAACTTCTAAATTTGTCCTTTGAACGGTAAGGATTTATTTGTTGACCATTTTGGTTAAGCATGGGTTGGGGGATTGGGGGCAGGGAGGACTTGAGAGGATTGCACAGGTAGAAGTCTAGTAAGCGCAGAGTCTCCAAGTACCTGAATGGAAGTTGGAAGATAATGGAACTTGTCCAGAAAATTAACCTGGATCTTTATAAGAAGAGGCAAAGGAATCCTGGGCATTTGTGACTCATGCCTATAACCCTAGCTATTCCGGAAGCTGAAATCTGAGGATCATGGTTTGAAGCCAGCTCAGGCTTAAATGTCTGTGAAAATCTTACCTCCAATTAAACAGCATAAAAGCCTGAGCTATGGCTCAAATGGTAGAGTACTGGCCTTGAGCGAAAGAGCTAAGGGATGGTGCTCAGTCCCCAAGTTCAAGCCACGGGATTGGCACCAGAAAAAGAGAGGACGCAAAGGAGACTAAGACTCAGGTGGTTAGGACTCAAATGCTAATGACAGAAAAAGGTCCCTTTAAGGCAGATTTGAATCAAGGAGATGAATAAAAAAGGAACTGAGCATGTGG